AAATAACGATTTGGTGTTGGGAAAAAACTCCAGTAATATTCATTAACCATATAAACTATTTAAAAACACAAGCATTTATTCACTAGGCCATCTTTACACCTTATTCCTTTTCACTTTTCACTGACACATTTCACTTAAATAATCAACATTTTTCTTATAAAAAACTTAAATTTAAAAACGAATGCTTCTGGTGACATTCTTCTATTTCTAGGTTATTTACTGGTGACATTTCAGAAAAAAGCGGTTGGTATTTGCCGTCGCCTACTATTGAATGAAGGTAAAAAACATTTGAATTACTTTAGGAATATTGACTGTATCAGTCGTACCAACCATGTCATTAACCTCAAAAATGTAAAATACAGAGATATGTAACCAAAAAGCAGCTCCGTACATTTTTCAACATTTTTATTGGAAAAATGTTGATTATTGAAGTGAAAAGTGTCAAAGAATGAGGAATAAGGTGTAAAGGTGACCTAGTGAATAAATGTTTGTGTTTTTAAATAGTTTATTTTGTGAAAAAGAAGACTGAAACGTCGCCGTTTTCTGAACTCGGAAAGGCCGTAACTTTGTAAATAAGGGAGAGCGCCGCTTTTTTCTTTCGGATTCGTAATCTACGCATCAAAATACGTAAGTACACTTAAACATTTTTTGAAAATCGCCGGATGCCCTCAAAACGAAAATTTACCTGATTTTATTTTTGTGATAAAACCATGTCTGAAGACGATATCGAAGAAAGATACATACATACTAGAAAATAAATATTTGAAAACAAAATCTCGATCCATCTCTGTAACCCGTCCAAATAGTACTCGGCGTTTCTCGCTGCCAAATAAGTGTGTTCACGAAAGTGATTGCCTCCTCCTTTGTCCCTGGGACTAGATCTGGTGAGTATGGCGGATGGTCAAGCCGTCCAAAACGTAATTCGTGGATTTTGGCCATGGCAACCACTGAGGTGTGAGACGGTACGTCGTCTTGGTGAACCATCACTTTTTTATTCTGCAAATGTGTCCGTTTTTCCGCAAGTTCTGCCTTCAGCTTGTCAAGTAATGATGCGTAGTATGCTCATGTAGTAGTTTTTCCTTTTTGAAGATAATCAATTGAAATAATTTCATGACTCTCCCCAAAAAACAGTCGCCATCACTTTCCCTGCCGAAAAAACCGTTTTTGCTTCTTGTGGAACCGGTTTCCTTTTTGCAGTCCACTGTTTGAACTATATTTTTGTTTCTGGCGTATAATGGTGGTGGTATCCTAGTTTCATCTACAGTAATTGATCGGTGCCAAAATTCGAATTAATTGCGCCTAAACTGCGACAACAGAGCAATGGAAATGTTCACGCTTTTGGTCTAATGTGAACAAACACGGCACCCAACGCGCGGCAGCTTTCCAAAGCCGAAATGTCGATTCAATATGTGACAAACACGTTCTTTTGACATATTCATAACCTCTGCTATTTCTCACTTTAATGCGGCGGTCGTTTAGCACCATTTGGCGAACCTTTGGCGACGTTTTCGTCGGTAGTTGCAATTTTTGGACATCCCAAACGTTCGTCGTCTCCCAAGCTCTTACGGACATGTTTAAATTCAGCTGCCCAAAAGTTTACTGTGGTGAATGATTGTGCAGAGCCCCCATACACAGATTCCAATTCATCTTTGATTTGCGTAGGCGTATTAGCATTCAAAAATATATATTTAATGATAGCTCGGTGGTCAATTTTGTCCGTCTCTATAAAAACACTCAAAAGACTGTTACATAAGAACTGCGCATCCAAAATGGCTGAAACTTTGGTTTGTAACTGTCAACAGATGAACAACGAAATTCACTAGCTTCTATTTACGAGTGGTACTATTTTCATGTTGAGGTAGCAAAGTTTTCAGAACTCCCTCGTATTTATCTCGAAATTTTATTTTGAAATATTTATTTTCTAGTACGTATATATCTCTACTCAATCCAGTCTTCAGGCACGGCTTTATATCTGCTGGAGAATCAGTACATGGGATGTGATTCTGTTTCGAAAAATATACTTTTTAGTTTTATTTTTGTGTATTTCCTTGGACCCCACCTGAAATGAAACGCTTCAGTAGTTTAAGTTTATTCAAAACTTTATTATTCATACTATTCATGCACTTATATAATAAATATTCCCGGTATAAAATATAAAAATAATAAAACGAATTAAAAAGCTATCGTTATATAAATGTATGTAAAGAAAAATTGATAATACTTAATATTTTTCTTCACGTAATCTTCATGCATGTTTGAAAACATGTGGATCCAATAAATATATTTCGACTTTATCTATAACATAAATGTGGCCCGTCACAAGAAAATCAAAATATATTACATTTATTCATCTTTAGAATGATTAAATGTAACAATTGAAATAATATTGGAAATACACTGACCTCTTACTTGATGAAAATTAATAACACCATCCTACATTATAATAATACAAATTTCACAATAAATTTCATCAAAGACACGTTTTGCTGCCCAGTGACTTCATCAGTATTCTACAAACTATTCTACAATGTTTCTGATATATAGAAGACACTGCAGAATAATTTGATGACCAGGCTAACTGAAGAAGTTATTCTGTAGACAAACACGTTTCAAACGAAACTTAATGTTAAATTTGATAAAACTGATCGATACTTGATGAAACTCCGTATTCAAAAACACACTCTAATGTGAGATTTCTTCTTGGAAATTCATAAAACCGTCACAGGTGTTTTTCAATATTTTGTGACGACTGAAGATGCTAATGTATAGCAAAACACGTGTCGTGGGCGTCAGAATACATACTTTTTGAGGTCGCAATAGTTTATGACGTCCGAATCTGCTATTGTATAACGAAATACGTCACAATACATACTTTCAAACGCCCGAAGGTACTTTTGTATAGCGAAACACGTGTCGTGAGCGTCACAATACCTAATTTGTGACGTCGTAATATTTTGTGACGCACGAAGATGCAAGTGTATAGCGAAACACGTGTCGTGGGCGTCACAATACATACTTTCTGACGCCAGAAGATGCTATTGTATAGAGAAACGCGTGTCGGCGTCACAACACATACTTTATGATGTTTCTATAGTATATGACGTCCGATTCTACTATTGTATAACGAAACACGTGTCGTGAGCGTCACAATACCTACTTTGTGACGTCGCAATATTTTGTGACGCACGAAGATGCTAGTGTATAGCGAAACACGTGTCGTGGGCGTCACAATACATACTTTCTGACACCAAAAGATGCTATTGTATAGAGAAACACGTGTCGGCGTCACAACACATACTTTATGATGTTTCTATAGTATATGACGTCCGATTCTGCTATTGTATAACGAAACACGTGTCGTGAGCGTCACAATACCTACTTTGTGACGTCGCAATATTTTGTGACGCAAGAAGATGCTAGTCTATAGCGAAACACGTGTCGTGGGCGTCACAATACATACTTTCTGACGCCAGAAGATGATACTGTATAGAGAAACACGTGTCGGCGTCACAACACATACTTTGTGATGTTTCAATAGTATATGACGTCCGATTCTGCTATTGTATAACGAAACACATTGTGGGCGTCACAATGCATACTTTCTGATGCCCGAAGATGCTAAGTCATCACCTCCTCGACTGTCGGTCTTGCCAAATCATTAAGTCTATGCTTTCACCTTCGTAGTGACGTATCCGTACGTGTTATACACTGAAACAGAATTGAATGACTGTCATATATTATTTATGGTGTTCAATATCAGGCCCAAGAAAACATTCAAGTAATGTCAGTAGAGTATTAGTTTATTATACTTGGAGGTCGCTTCATATTTTCAAAAGAAGATTCCCAAATCTCCTCGACTATAAACACCGCAATTGAACTTGACATAATTAGTTGTGTAAAAGAAATATTATGCCGTTGACACGCACGTACCTGTACTAGTTGAACAGTGAGTTTAATTATTCTATTTATTATTCGTAGCATTAAGTGGATATTGCGCAAAAACCATTCTTATGAAAATCCAGAATACTTCTGACAATGCTCAGCTCAGAGCTAAGCTAAAACAGACATGTTNCTTTTACAAAAATCAACTAAATCTTAAATTGGTAACAGCTTGAACGAATTTTTCGTGAAGTACATTTTCTTGTTGATCTACCCACCTTCAAAATCTTTCTCATAATAAAAGAGCATATCTGCAAAGAGACTACCAGGATATTCCGGATATTCAGCTGTTCCTCCGTAATATGCCGGTAAACTTTCAGATGATATTTTCTCCAAGAGGGATTTCCTGTTGGTTCCGTGTAAGAATAACTGAAAACCAAAAGATTTTTGTAATGTGATATTTCAAATAATGATGTAGATAATCAATATCAATAAATATGTATAAGCTCACCAATTTTTTCAGTTTTTCCCCAAGAAATGGTTTGAATATGGTAAACACCATACTGAAAAAGTTCGACTGATTGATAATGTGGATGCCTTTCAGTCTGGTTGGGTTACATTCCTAGAAAACAGGAAAATGATTATTACACATGAACGGGACGCTTTTTGCTGTGATGTCACCGCACAGTACTTGACCAGTACAGTACCAGTACCAGTACCAGTACAGTTGAAACTTTTCAACTGCAACTGCGGCAGTCGAAGTACTCTTCTTAATGTGTCAACTGAAACTCAGTAGTCAACAACCGATGTTGAGGAAGTAAAGAAAATTGTTATGGAGCACCGTCGAGGAGAATTAGAAGCAATCTTGGATTTACAATGATTAAGAATGTATTAAATTGCATTGTCATCAAAACTAAATGTGTGTACCAAATTTCAGATCAATCTGTCAACAGGAAGGTCGTCAAACTTCAATTCTAAATTTGACAAATAAACAAGCAGACAGGGCAAGTTGAATAAAACCGTTTAAAACTGATTAGCTACCTGCACCCAGTCCAGAATGAGCTTAGCAGTCTGAGGGGAGAATTGGCAGACGTGGAGCAGGGAGAAGCCGTCCATGTCGATGATGACGTGGACACCTCCCAGCTGAGTTTTCGGTTCCAACATGGCGATTTCTATGGTGACCATCGTGGCCTTGAACAAGTCTTCCAGGGTTACTTGCTTCGGGTTCCATTTCGCTCCACAGTTTATCACCAACACCCTGGAACCGGCTGTCGTCCTGATCGGAATCAATTTGTACACTTCTGAGTCGAAAACGTGTCTGATGCTCTGAGGCGTTATGTTGACGCTGTATTTGGGATGCTTGATTTTGAATCTGTAGAATTTCCTAATGATTTTTGCCGCGGTTTCTGGGTTGTATCGGCACGGCCTCAGGAATTTGATCAGGAAAGATTCGTCATCGAACGGTATGTAGAGGCCTTCATCAGCTAGAAAACGATATCAGTTGTATTAATATTAAGGTATTTATTTCGCTGTGGCAACATCGCAAGAATGATGAAGGGAGAGCTGGATCACAGAATACCTCACAGAAGAGATACCTCGTGGCCTACTGCGCCGTGAGGGAAGGAGAGATCATAAAAAAAAGAAGAAGAGATACTCAGCACGGATGGCACGGAACAGAAACGATGAACTTTCGACAATGTTAACCTAGAAATGTCTTCGAATTGTGAATTTGTGAACGTGAATATGGTAAAAATTGAATCTAGTTTGGTAGAAGTTAAATCTAGTTTGGTTATTACGACTTAACAACCTGAAGAAATGACAGTATGGTAATTTTTCGACTGCGTTTGAATGATATATCTGATAAGATATGACACTGAACACCCCCAACACAGAATATAGTTCCCAGTAAACTGACAATTTCCACATCAAAGTGCCGCCAGGTAAGTGTTTCTTTTGTGAGGTATTCTGAGACTCAATTGTATCATCAATAAATTTAAAAAATCAAGATGCCCCTACACTAATATAGCGACTCATACGTTCAGAATTTTAATGCCAATCTGCCAGCCAATATACGCGGGTCGCTTTAAAAGAAAAAACGCTAGATACCGTCAATATCGTTGTTTGTGTGTCGATACAGTGTTGAGTATTCCACAAAGTTATTATTTATATTGACAGGTAGATGTGAATTGTGATGACACTGACATAAAATATTATTTTATGGTAGGTAGGTAAGCAAATGCTTGAAAGTTTTCTGATTTCTTTGAATCACTTTCGTGAATTTATAAGAATATAATCAGCGGTGTTGTTTATCATCAAGTCCATATTTTCAGTTTGCTTTTTCGATTACCTATTGGACTGGAATCAAAATATTTTACGAGTGATGGTATATCTGCGAATCCTCTCTAGTGATATTAGGTAGCTGAGACACGATAACGGTGTTGTTTTTGACGTTATTCAACAATTCCTGAGCGATTCTCATGCGACGGTTTTTTGGTCTTATTCACCTTATTTTTCAACAGACTTCGTATTCCATTGGAACGTTTTTCATTTTAGATGATAATATAGGGGTAAATTTTTGTTTTGAGGACACCCGGCGTGTACTTACGAAAGAAAAAAGCGGCGCTCTCCCTTATTTACAAAGTTACAGCCCTTCAAAGTTCTGAAAAGGGCAACTTTTCTGCCTTCTTTTTCACAGAATAAACTATTTAAAAACACATTTTTCCAATAAAAATGTTAAAAAATGTACGGAGCTGCTTTTTGGTTACATATCTCTTTATTTTACGTTTTTAAGGTTACTGGCATGGTTGGTACGACTGATGCAGTCCATATTCCTAAAGTAATTCAAATGTTTTTTACCTTCATTCTTTAGATCGTAAATTGGTTTTTGATGGTGTATTACGAATTTGAAATAGTAGGCATTTTTAAATTAAGTTTTTTATAAGAAAAATGTTCATTATTGAAGTGAAAAGTATCAAAGAAGGAGGAATAAGGTGTAAAGGTGACCTAGTGAATATGCTTGTGTTTTCAAATAGTTTGTTTTGTGAAAAAGAAGGCTGAAAAGTTGCCCTTTTCAGAACTTTGAAGGGCCGTAACTTTGTAAATAAGGGGGAGCGCCGCTTTTTTCTTTCGGATTCGTAGTCTACGCATCAAAATACGTAAGTACACTTAAACATTTTTTCAAAATCGCCGGGTGTCCTCAAAACGAAAATTTACCCGTGAATGATTTGGACGTCACATGATTATTCAACTCTAGGAAGTTGTTTCAAAATGTTATTGTATGCATATTTGTAGGCCACACGTGGTGACATTGTTTGGATTCATTTCGGAAAATGGCGAAAAATTGTTCATATTGGCGAACTAAATACATTCGAGGATAGTTTTAAAAATTATGCTTACAAAGTGATACCAACATTCATATTTTTTCTTCCAAATAAAAAGTTCGCTCAGAAGAAAAGTAGCTAGATGCTCTGTTTTATTAATTGTCATAACATGAAAACCAGACTAACTACCGGTGGCGATTTGTTTTGAAGCCAATAAGAAATCCAAAATGACTACAAAATCATTATTAGATCAAAATAATAGTTATTCAAGAAATAGTAACTTTCAGCAATCCTCTTAGATATTTGATTACACATTGAAAATTTACCTTTCAGAATTTCGCGAAGCTTCGTCAATCCAAATTCGACATTCTCGGGTGTTTCTCGCAGTTCTTTTTCCGCCCTTTGTTTATCTTTGCCCCTCAGTTCTTCCAGATCGAGCCGCATTTGATGAGTTCCTAATTGGATAAAAGGGATGTTGTCCAACCCCGTTTCAATGCATAACACCATGTTGCAGGCTTGGATTTTTGGACGGTTACTTGGTTAATCCAGGAAATGTAAGGAATCACCCTATAAAATATGATTTTCAATTAATCCTCAAATAATCCTTCATGTTTTCAGTACCAAAAGCCAGCGAAATCAATATTCATTCAAAAGATATATTTTTTGGAAAGTGGTATATGAGTTTTTATTGCCATCCCCCCAGAAATTGTAAATCGGTAGTATCTTGTTTGAAATCTCAACCATTTTTCTACATTTTGACGTCCGCAAAGAAAAAGGTGAAGAGGGTTAAAATCTGGTGATTTTGATGGTCACTCAGTAGATTGTAGCAATCAATTAGTTCCGGAGAGTAATTCTGGTTCAGACATTTATTTCATTAGAATAATGAATACCCCATTGAACTCCTTATTGTTCTTAAATTTACCTTGTCAACAAAAGGGCCTGTCACCAAAACAAAATATTTTTCCAAGTCTTAAATCGTCTATTATTTTTGGGTCATTGGGTCACAAAATTTGTTCATCCTACCTGAATCCTTATTATTGAATTTCCGAAGGATTTGAAGATTATTATCCCAAAAAAAGTTTTCGGTATTATTTTTTTTTCTGTTTTCTCGGAGTTACAAATTTTTGCAACAGAGCAACAAATAGAACAGTTATACAAACTAGATTTGATAATTCAGATTGTTAATGTTCAAGAACTACAGAAAATTATTTTTTCGGATATGACTATACTTTGTCCACAACTACGTCATTTTCAATAAACGAAACATGTAATTTTATTATTTATGAACCTCAATACATAACACGAACATTTCAAATTATCATTAAAAAAATTATAGGTGAGATTAGAGACATACACATAATGGCATTTATATGAATAATTCGCTTAATTTTCAATTGATGTTGTATGTACTGGTTGATTGTTATATTAGGACAATTACTGAAAGTGATCGTGTATCAATCGTATTTTATGTTTTTTAGACGTGGATGATTATGATGATGATATAGCTTTTGTGGCGTAAATGCTTAACTTAATTCACAACTCTCGTAACTATAGTTGAAAAAATACCGCCTTATAAATTTTGTCACTTGTTTCAAAATTTGCAATTATGTTTCCGAAACGTTGTGGAAATAATCCTTGTAAGGATCAAAAACACAGAATACGGAGCGAATCCCAAAAAAACAGTTCATCATACTTTGTTCTTGAGAATCTAGAAACATGTAGATTCGTTTTCCGATGGCATTTCAGAATAACTTCCCAAATTTCTGCTACCGCAGTTGTCGGTTGATTGGTCGAACCACCAACACTAACATAAAAACTTGGCAAGTTGACTTGGGTGTCACACCAATAGATGGTTCCACTTATGCCTCGCTTGCGTTTACGCAGTTATTTTTATTGAGTACTTTTCTCACTTTGTCTTCAATCGAGAACTGCCTGCCCGGTACTGACGATGCCCAACAGGCCGAAACAGCTATCTACCGGTGGTTCTTAACTTGAAATCCATATGGGAGTGATCAGAATAGTACTAATGTATTCATCTTTTGATTTTCATGGAATTATGTTCCAGCAGCTTCACTACATTAACCTTTCTCGATTACATAGATACATTTTTCGACATTTATTACAATTTTTATTCAGATCTTACCAAAAGCAGAACCAGTGAAGTATAGCAAAAATATTCACCGTTGACCAGAAGACCCAAACTCGGAATAATCGATTTCACAAATCTTGCTTATAATATAAAAATAATTTCAATATTTCTAAGAAATGCTAGCTCACTTTCTTCATTTTGAAGGATTTTCAACTACTTACCGGTAAACTGTGCTCAAAAACCCGTATGAATCATTTCCAAGAATAAATTAATATAACTTTACAGACTCAACAAATATAGCTGTTTCTTGATGAATGGTTTTTTGATTCTGAAACTAATTTAAAATTTATATCAGTGTTATCGACCTGAAAATCAAAGTTTTCGATTCATAAGTTATTCGATACATTTTGACCTAAATCTTTTGTTTGAGTTTGTGGAATGCGAGTACTATTTGCAATAATTATTGGAACTTCATACAGTAATAATAACAATAATAAGAAGTGTTGGTAGGATTAAAAAATCAATTTTCAATTATGAATATTCAAATATGAATATGAAATAAACATATATCAAATTTATATAACTTATATACTCGATTATATGCAGGGTGACCGAAACGAAGAAGTCGAAATTTTTTTAATAGGACACCTCAAGTCCTGTAACATGGCTAAATGCGCCTTACGGAAGAAAAGGACAGGAAAACCTAGAGATAGAGAGAGAGAAGTTCTGTAACAATTATTCCTAAGTAGATTATGCGTTGATAAAATTTTGTCGCAATAGAAAAAACACGTTCGAACAAGGCAAAGTTAAATTTTAAAATTTGAATTCAATATCGTTAAAAAATATTCCATAGTTCTTAGGTGTTGTTGTGTTGTTGTATTGTTGAATAAATACCTACTTGATGGTTCTTAAAGTATGTCACCAGACTTTGATATCTTCCAAATACTACCGATTATGATTCGTTATCTAAAACAAAGTTTGGTCCCGGTAATCGAATTTTGATGTACCAGTACATAGGGTAATGACACCACGTATCGTTGAAATCAATCAGTTTCAAATTTAGCTATCAATGAATTTAGCAAAAACGTTACCTTCCACGTTTGAAATAGATGAAATAATAAAACGATTCTTAGATTAACTTTCCAGTACAACAAATAGTCACCTTAAAATTTATACACTGTGGAATAACTAAAATTATCGAAGCTGAGACTGGGAGTATGACTAGAGGCGTGCCACAAGGCTCAATATTGAGGCCCATACTTTTTATTTTGTACATGAATTATCTGAATCACATTATTGAAACAAAGAATTATATTGCATACGCAGATGATTTCTCATTATTCGTTTCCGATTCAGATACGAAAACCTTAGAAAAAAAAAGTGTAATGATACCATAAATGAAGTAGCAAGATTCTTCAATGTTGACAAAACACAAATTATAAGAGTTCACAATCTTCAAAAAAATGTTGAATGATGTGACTAACAACATATTTACCACTGTTAAAGTAGTGATCGATGTAAAATTTGGGCATAATACTATCTACTGTTTGATAACATTACATGATAACTATGAATCGTAGGTTGAAAGGTAAGACTGCGTTAATTCTTAGATCGCGTTGTACTGATGCTGCAAACATCAATAGAGTCGTTCTTGATTATTTCGCCGAATCGAATCGAAAGTTTTTTGCTATCATAGTTCTTAATTATATCCAACGAGAGTACAACAAAATAATTACTTTTCAATTTTGTTTCGCTAATGTGTTTATGATATTTTTTATAGCATTTGTTATTGTGTTCTGTGGAACTTGTTTCTAAATCATTCTCATATTTACATAATTTGAAAGTTTATTCAACATCACTTATAAATAATTTTTTTTTAAATACTATGAAACTTTTCAACTGACATCGATATTTTGCTTCTAGGTTTTCGTTCTAGGTTTTTAATCTATAAATTTCTGTTGGACAATAAAAGTGTGATTGATTCATAGTAAGTTTACTCACTTGATTTGCCTTCTCTGATGTGGATCAGGCCGACACAAAGGAAGTGAACTGTAATCTTTTCACGACCGCTCCGCAGACAACAATAACATTTCGGTTTTCATGAACATTATTTTAAAAAGTGAAGCCCATTCGATGGTGGGACGGAAAGCTAGATTGTTTATTTTCCTTCGACTGTCGATTATTGGGAACCTAGTAATTATTCTGTTTACGATTACGCGATAATTTGGGACATTCTTTTCCAAAAGAGATGATAACAATATATTTTTACAATCTCTGAGAGTTATTCGGCTCGACAGTTTTCACTCCTCGATATTTTTCATTGCAAAATTCACTAGAGAGATTATGATATTTCGGGATTCTACACACCTAATTACCTTTCATGACTCCCAATTCGTTCATGCATAATGCGCTCAAATTATTTTTGAAATACCAAAATTGAGGTCTTCTTTTTTCATAAATATCGCCTAAAAATCACTGAAGATTTTTAACGTTTCTGAGATTTTTAAACGAAAACTGGAAATAACAACTCTTGCAATAACTTCGTCCTTGTGAATGACAAATGTTTGTGATGTAAAATGATCTTCAAATATTACTGAAAGGATGAAACATAGTGTTTCTTTGTGTTCAAACATCATGCATCCGGTTGACCCACATTTCGAATAGATGACAAGTTTTTTGTTTCAATTATCTTTCATGCATTTTTATCGGTACTAGTCAAAACAAGACTCCTTTGCTTTCTGAATGAAAACAAAATAATAAGTGATTGCCAGTTTGGTTTCCAAAAGCAAAAAAACACTTTCGATGCCATATTTTCATTTCTTTACAATGTT